TGATGCCAATATAAGAGACCGCACCCTCATTTTCGGGACACACTCGCCACCGAACACTGAAGCCAGCGGAAGCTCTGCCCGTTTGACTAGCCAAAATAATTAATCATTTTAACTCTGATAGTTGATTTAGTTAATGTTGTATTTTTAAATCATTTTAGTGTTAATTACATTTATTCAATTCTGTTAGTTTTCTTATTAATTCAAAAGGTACTGTAGTAGTGTATAAGAGATTGTTTTTTTAATTTTCCCGGCTTCTGATCCTTAAGATCAGAAGTGGCATAGTGAAACTCCCACGTCCTTGTTTGTACATCCTGATACGATGTGTTTCCATTGTTATTTCTTTAATTGGCTAGTCATACGATCAGAAATATATTTTTTGGAAATTGTAACTACCCTTATTTAAAAGTACAAATTATCACTTTGTTTTCGGTGTTTCGTATAATATACGTAAGTAAGACGTGATGTGACGGTGTGATCAAGTTTTATGATGTCAACTTTGGTGAGTACGTGCCAATTGTTTTCTTCTCCGCTTTAAAATAACAAATAGCTTTTTGTGTAAATTTTAGAATGGTTCTATTTTAATATTTTGTCGTGTCTACCCTATTGATCAATTATTTACCGTAACTTGAATTCGTTGCTTCGAATTACGACTAATTTTAAAGAAAGAAATTTTGGCTTGCATAAAATTATCCGGTGTGAATGCGAAGAAACTTTGTTGTGACGAGAAGTTTTCTTGTTTTGTAACAGTTGATCATCCCGGACACATTCATATCATGAATTTAATGCACGCAAACACGTAGCATCTCATCCAAGGAGGTTTCATATTTTTATGGACCTCTTTACAGTGTTGATTTAACGAAAAACGTATTCTAAGTTTCAAAAAATTGTTTATATTTTTAATAATAGCATAATTTAAAAATAATTTGATTTTTTTAGTTAGAACAATTTAGTTTTTAAACTATATAACATGAGAAATAAGTTGCTATATTTTATTTTTGAAATACAAATTTAAGGTGCCCTAAATAAAATTAATGATCTGTCACAAATTTAACTGCCATAAATCTACCAAATGTGTAAAATTTACAAGTCTTTTTCAGTAACTTTCTTTTATATTGAAAGCCTAAATCAAAGAGTAGGAAGTATAGGACTGGTGTGATGACTCTTAGATCTTTTTAATCCATACATTTCATTATTTATCTTGTATCCTTAACTTGTATTATTTTAATTTACTTATATATCCAGCTTTTAATGAAACCTAATATATAAATGTCAACTGTTAAAATACAAAAAGGTTTCAGGAAACTGTGGAAAAAGGAGCGTATTCAGTTTTATTTCGCGGTGGCTGACATTGACAGCGAAGTTGACAAATTTTCGTTTTTAATATTTGATGGCAATTTTAAAACGGGTCAAAATAATTAGTTTGTTGCTGCGTTTGTTTAATTTGTAAATTTGATGCGGAAAGCAGTAAAATCGGACTTTCGCCACAATTAATAATAATTAAGAAAGTGGGTAGATTTCGATGGTTAAGTGGCCAGTCCTGTGTTATGCCCTCAAAGTCGATAAATCTTGTTGATAATGAAAAATGAAGGGTGTCGATAGCTTTCCAGCTGATCGTGAAGGGATGACACACAAACCAATCATAACATGTAAGTTACTTATTCGTAACTGAACATTGCCTTTTACGAAAGACTTGTCAATTTATACCAAACCTTCATGTTTGAATTATAATAATGAGGGCGTCTACTTTTACATACTTTAATTTCTTAAATCTTTACCGAGATGTTTAGCTTAAAGAATTACATTTTTAAGAATGTTTCCATTCTATATGTTAAATATTACTCTGCTACCTATACCTAATTTATGATAGTTCATTTAACACTATAAATGCAATAAACTAGGTGCTGGAGACTGGAACTTATTTTGCACATTAGAAGCACCATTAGTGGCTGCAATTCCTCAAGATTCCTGTGAATGGAGAAGGTCCTATGGACGTGTCACAAAGTCAGTATACTTAGAAGCATCCTTCACAAAGTATAATAAAGATAAAGTGCAATCTGAATTAAATCTCTTGAAGCGTCCAATATTACATATATTTTGGACAGATTGTGTGGTAAGAATCTTTTGTTTTTGTTTCAATCATTGTAATACTAGAGAATTTTTAAGAATGATTTTCTATGATAGCTGAAGCAAAAATACAAGAATGGGTTTTATGTAATAAGATTATGAAAATTCTGTCTTATTTAACATGCACCCTTGATTTTATCAACAAACTATGATCTAACTACTACTCCTAGCAACTCTAAACTACTTCTTTACAATTTTATGATTGCAAAATTGTAATGTTAATATTTGGCATTTAAATTTTCAGGACATTGATTACTATAAGACAACATTAAGAGATGAGGTGGAAACATGGCTTAAACAGATGGAAAAGAACGGTGTCACAGATTGGATGGTAGTATTAGTGGAGACTTATGACATAAGAAAAGCCAACAAATTGCTACCACGGACTACAGTTCTGGATAAAATCAAAGCAGACTTTGCAGTGAAGCATCAAGAGGATAGATTTCTCTCCGTTATAAATCCTATCAAATCGGAAGCGCGCAGTGCTGATTCATGGAGGTCCTTGGTTGCGAAAATACGACACTTTGTACTTGTTGCTTATAACAAAGCACTGATTAAGTTTGAAGAGCATATGAGAGAACAGAGAGAGAAACGTAATGATCCAGAATGGGATTTCTGTTCATATTTTATCTTACAGGTAAGTAAATTACTTTCGTTTCTATGTTATTAGCATATCATTTGTTAAATTTTTATTTCAATGTGGATGAGAAGGGGAAGTGGAATTGACAGAGTAAATGCATAGGAATGGAAAATATACTCTATCTGCATGTCTCCTCAGTTGATGAAAGTTTGGCAATGCATGTTCAATTGTGGATGATTATGGACAGCGGCTGCTTCACTATTTCAGAAAATTTAGGTGTCAGCTTGCTCATTTGCCAACATGGAATATAATTCAAAAATAATTCAGTTTTATTTACATTATGTAGGCCAAAACTATTGCCTAATTGTCAGTTTTCAGAGTAATAATTATACACATTTTAAACTTAACAAAGTATATTTTTCATATTTCCAGGAACAACTAGCATTTGTACTAGAAATGCTTGGTTTATATGAAGAAGCTCTAGTCCAATATGATGAGTTAGATGCACTTTTTTCGCAATTTGTACTCAATTCAAATGTAGCGGAAAGTCCAAAGTGGCTTGATACATTTAGACAACCGATCACATCATGGCAGGCTGTTAGGTTAACTGCTTTGATACCACAGCATTTAAGAGAACTTATAATAAAGAAGAAAGCTTCCTTGTTGGACTTCAGAAGTTATCTGTACCAGAGACAAAGTGCCATGTTATTGTTAATGTATAAACCATGGGAGGTAAGTTTTATTAAACATAATATAAACATATAATATAGGATGACTAGATTTCGGAAGAAATCTTTGAAGAATTTCTTCAAATTCAGCATTAATAATGTTACAAGACCACTTTCAAAGTCAAATGAATGTTAAACATACTTTTGGAGTGTCAATACACGTTCATATTAACATGATTAGAAAGAAACGCTTAAATATTAGAAATGCAACAGTAAAAGAACAATTAGAACAGCCAATTAGAACTTAATTACTATTGGAATTGGAAATTGTAGCAGCGAGGAATCTGTACTAACAACTGAGTAATGATATGGAATAATTATCAGATTAACTGTTAGACTTTGTATTTAGAATTGTTGTTTTCTTCATGGCTAGCCATCTGTTAAATCCACTCGTTAAGTTACTATTTACTGAAAAAAATATTTTGGAATTTTACATGCTGAACAAAATTTAGTTTAGTATTGTTTGTTATAGTGATTTAAATATGCAATTGTATCTTTGTTATAATTTCTATCAATATTGTATTAAAGTTTAACTAGATTTGTTTGTATCTACAAATTCATAATTAAATATGTTGTCCCTTACTTTTACATATCGATTATTGTTTTAATATGAACAATGTGTTTTTATACTATTGTTTATCTTGTAGATAGCATCGCGTTGTCTGAGCACAGTGCACAACACATTAGTGGAGTTGTCTCTGTTGGGAGCGAGTACTGTAGATGGCGCTGCGGCGTGCTGGGCGCAGCTCGCGTGCGCGGAGACGTGGCGCGCGTGCGACCGCCTCGCCGCCTCCGCAGCAACAAACCCCTCCCCCAATGCGCACGGGAACGCCCTCGAGTTGTGTACGGCCACGCAAGCACCGTTGTTACATAATGCTAAAGATAAGGTGAATATGGATGCCATTTTCACTTTTAATTTTCGTATCGCAATTTATAGCTATAATTTAAATTTGTTACAATATAAAGAAATTAACTTATTTCAAACTGCATAATTTAGATTATTTTATACTAAGTTAGGTGTTTTAGTGATATATTTGCAAATTGGGTTAATTTTGATCTAATTTGGACCAATGAGCGAACACTAATTTTTATGTTAACAATTTATTCACAGTGAATTCATATATTTTCAGTTACACGAATTAGGCAAGCTATGTGGTCTACTACCTGGTTCTCCAGACCCTACTTCCGAGCAACTGCACTTGGTGGTGATGCTGTCAGCGGGTATGGGAGACAGCGAGGCTAACAACGCTCAGCCCACGCCCACTGACAGACTGAAGGAGGCTCTATGCAGCAAGACCAGCTTCCAGCAGTATTACCTTGAGCTGGCTGAATTAGCTATGGGCACATATAAGCATATTGGAAGATTGAGGTATGATTAAAAAAATATTAAAAAGTTAGTCTATGTGAACTTAAATATCGGTTTGACACCGTTGAAAGACAAACATATAGCCGAATTCAATTAACAAATATATATTTTTAACCTTATAAGGCTGTAATCACAGACTTTTTAAAAACAAATGTGTTGTATCATCAATTTAGACACAATTTTTTTTTTTTTAAATAAATTGATAGACAATAAATGTTATTGTCACCCAGTAACATGTGTAAATATAATTTATAATTTCTGTTCAACATGATTATAATGGTTATTATGTTTCTGTATGGATGTTTTAGTACTATAATGTACAGTTATGTACAAGATTTTTGTTAATAAAATAAAAATATTTTGATAAGAAAAAGGAAAACAAGATTCTTTCCAATTTCTTTTAAATTTACTTCTTTGGTTTATATGTTATGTTTAATATATAAATTGTTTATTATTTAACAGATTCGCGAGACAAATTGGTCGTGACCTAGCCTCGTTCTATTCTGAGTTGGGTGAGACAGGTAAAGCCGTGCTGTTCCTCACTGACGCGCTGCGCTCCTACGAGGAGGAAGGCTGGATGGACCTCGCGGCGCAAACGCGGCTTGAACTTGTCGCAGCCGCCAAGAAAATGAACGATGTAGATAGGTCAGGCAATATATTATTTAATCTAGAATTAGACTAATCATCATATAAACAAATTAAAGTGAATCTAACTAGAACTTTTTTATAAGTTAAGAAAAAAATCACAATGTCCATTTGTATTGAGGTCGATGACAACGCCATCTAGTAGAACGATATGTAATCTGATTATTATGTAATTTTTTGGTGCTTTTAAAGCTTATGGTTATTTACTATGTGATATTTATTATGTTCTAGATATACAAAGCTCTCTGCAAGAATAGCAAGTACCGTTGAGTTGGAGATTCTAGTCAGAAATTTCTATTTTGAAGAGATGATGAAATCTATTCGGGAAGGTCTTTCAGAGAAATCCGAGCCCGTTCTTACTGAGCTTAATGATTGCTTCAAAGTCGTCTCGGCGACAATACTGCCGTCCGAACGTGGTGTTTACATCACTGATAATAAGGTCCAATGTTGTTTGACTATAGAAAGTTACCTACCTAAAACTGTGGTGGGTACTCGAGCCGCTATCAGTACTGAAATATCCAAACAAGACAAACAGACAGAGAGACGGACGCCGGTTAAAAATTATAAGACTGATTTAAGTGTTAATGGTAGTATAGGTACTCAGAGTTATTCCCCAAAGAAGTCTGTAGGGGACGCTTCCGTCGATAATGACCCTAGTTATCTATTAACAAGGTATGTTCACTTTTTTCTTATATATCTTTAATAAAAAAAAACTCGTTGCTAGAAATCAATTCCACTATTGAACAATAAATTCCACCTTGTTTACGGGCACTGATAGTATTATTTTCTTTCAATAGTCGAAACTAGATCAGTCTTCTTGCCCAGATTGATATCTTACTAATATTATAAACGACAATGTTTGGATGAATGGATGGATGTTTGTTAGTAGGTGTCTCCAGAACGGGTGTATAGATCTCAGTGAAATTAGGCATAGATATATAACATAGTCTGGAAGAACAGATAGGCTACTAATTAAGTTTTTTTTAAATCCGCGCGTACGGAGTCGCTTATGATCTGTAGCGAATATGATATTTTAAGTGTTTTTTTAATATAAATTTATTTGTTGCTTTCAGTATAAGACTGGACGATTTAAAACCTAAGAATCCTTTACTCAGCCCGCTAAACTTTACATCGAAATTACACTACAAGGAAGACAAAAGTTTACAGAAAACTACGGTCGAATGTCAAAATCCTAAGTTAACATTAAAACGTTCAGAAAGTACTAAATATAGAAAACCTTCTGTTACTGTGAGAAATAACTATGAAAATGCATTCAGTGTTTGTAATATACAATTAACACCAGGAATCAACGAATTATGCTTAGAATATGTCGCTAACAAATGTGGTACTTTCAAACTTGGTCAGATTTCTTTATTAGTGGAAGAGAAATTAGAATTTCTATCAAATGCATTGATTACAACTAAAATGGGATATGAAGTGGTCACTCAGGGGATCAGTGTAGTTTTAAATAAAGTTGAACCAAAGAAGGATTTAGTGGCAGGGTTGGAACATGACATGGAACTTGTTGTTACAAGTGGAAGTTCTCCAATTTTAGAGGTAAAACCTTAAACTCCTTTTTCCAATTTTGTAAAGTTTGGTAATTGACTTTCTGTGCTAAAGAAATATAGCCCGGTAGTCATAAGTCTAACTAAATTATAAACACTCATCATAGCAGATCACTAGCGGCCTCATGTTAACGTCAAGAAAGTGTCACAACACTCCATACTGATGCAGTCTTATCATGTTTTTTTTTTACCTTTATGTAAATTTCTATGACCATACAGGTTTTATATTTTCTCACAGACCTAACCGCGATAGCAGCGCCCCTCAGCCTCGGCCAGTTGTCTTTGTTTGATTATAGTTATAAATAGCAAATTCATCAGATGTTTAAAATTGTTAATTTCCACACTATAATCTCCAGGATGCAACAATCCACATGAAGACGTCCACCGGTCTACTGCTGCGGTTCGGTGCGCAGCTGTCGCCGATGTGCCGCGAGCTGGACGTGGCGATACCTGCGTGCGAGGCGTTTGTCACCACACGCGTGCCGCTCAGACTGTTCGCCAGCCTGCAGCCGCGCCGGGAGAAGACCGTCGAGCATACTGTATGTTTATAAAGGTCTTCTATACCTGTACAATTTAAGTGGACTAATGAGGACCCAAATTATAATTTAATTAATTGCAAACAGCGCCATCTAGTTTATATACCGAATTTTTTTTAATGTTTATTTAAGTGTCTATCCAAGTAAGCTGTATAACAAAACAATATATCTATACATAACAGTGTTAAAGCAACGGATAGACTTTTTTAAGTTATAGGTGTTGCTCTATGTGATGTTTTGTTTGTTACTAGCTGTTGCCCGCGCATCCGTTCGCGCAGAATTAAAAAAATCTTTCCATTGCTATTTCCAGGTTTGGTTAAGCTGTCCATGGTGGGAAGCTGTGATGGAAGTACCGTTACACTTCTCGCCGCCTATGATAGCGTCATGGCGACTTCTCACATCGAACACGAGGAAATTTGTTCACGTCACTGTGAAATCAACCGTCGCACATCTCATACAGTTCGAACTGATAGATCCGAAGCTGGAGTGCGATAGTAATACTACGCTCTCCGATTTAAATCCGAAGGATGCTGGGAATATGGTGAGATTTATTTATCACTGGCTATCGCCGTTTAGTTTAGTTTCTCTGGAGATATGTAACAAGAAATATTCATCCATCCAAACTTTCGCATTTATAATACAGTGCAACCTCAATATAACGAATCGGAGGGAAACAAGTAAATATTCGTTATATCGAGTAATTCGTTAAACTGAGGTTCGTTATGTTAAGGTTAGGATGGTCTAAAATTCGTTATAAAGAGGTAAAAAAATAGTTTTATTCACCTCAACACGTACGCATCTTGTTATAGCGAACAACTTCTACTAATAAATGATAACTCTTTTTTATCAAATTACTGTATGTATTTTCTATTTAAAAACAATTAGGCAAGTAACAAAATTTTTTTGTAAGTTTATGAGCCATTTTAACTTAAATCTTTGACAATTGTGACGAGAATAAGTGTTAACATTACTTTCCATCAAACAACAATGATTGATTTACGAACAAAAGCGTGTCGAAACATGTCGCAACATGAATCACATATTATGAGATTAAAAGTCATACATTAGTGACACTGCAACTTTATATAGAGGTTTTGGGTTGACAAAATTCGTTAAATAGAGGTATTTATACTTTTTCTCGATGGTTGAAAATTCGTTATAAAGAGGTTGTTCGCAAAAAATGTTCGCAATGTAGAGGTATATTTTATATTGACTCTTATGGACAATTCAAGGGGATTACGAAAAATTTGTTAAATCGAGGAAGTCGTTATATCGAGGTACGTTATATTGAGGTTGCACTGTATTAGTAAGATTATAATAATGAATCTTTGGGCTTTTTATTTTTAAAATTTTATGTAGCTTAGCTTGTTTGAAAGTGAAAAAGTTATGTACTGGTGTTTTTTTTTGTCTAAAATACAATTGAAATTATTAGGAAACAGTTGATTTTGATGAGCAATATTTTCCTTGAAGTGTCATCAATTATCATAATTTATTTAATGTTTTGACTAGCGCCATCTAGTTGAAAATTTTACAACTAATGTATAGAATTTTGTAAAGAAAACTACGTGTATATATATTGAGTATTATTATTTTTTTTTAGTTGGTAGCCTCAGACGGTACAACAGCTTCGTTTATGTGGGAATTACTCAAAGATCCGTTAGTAAAAGCTGGTCCGATGAAAGCGACATTCAGAGTGCAGTACCGGCCCAGTGAAGTGGAAGGATCTCTCAAGACTTTCGTATGTCCATTCGACATACAGGATTACACCACGCTATTTGTTATACGAACTAAGTTGGAACCTGGTAAAGGATCGGAATTCTGTCGCGCATCTCAAGTCTACTGCTTACAGCTTACTGTTCAAAGAGTAAGTTTTTTTTAAACTACATTTTTATAGTATATTCTTGATAATTCTTCATATAACGTACTATCTTGGGACTTCCTTCGCGCGATATTAAAAAAAATATTTAGCTTATTTGTTCTTCCTTGCTATGTTCTAGATATATCCCAAATTTTAGCGAGATCCATACAGTCGTTCGCGAGATACCTCTAAACAAACATCCATCCACCCAAACATTCGTATTTATAATATTATTTAGATATCGTCCTACGATAATATAGCCTCCCAAGAGCGAATGCGTTATTCAAATCGGCTTAGTAATTTTTGAGCCTATTCAATGCAAACACATACGTTTTTCTAGTTTTATAATGAAGAAAAAATGGTAATAAGAGCACTTTATTAGTTAAAATTAATATATAATTTAATGCAGGTGAATGAAACTGAGCACACTTCACTCATGTATGAAGTACTAGCAGATCAAACTATGTGGGCTGTACTAGGTAGAACTGCAGGTATGTGGTTTATTTATCGCACACATTTATATATAGATCTAGCTGATCGGCCTACCAATCCAATTTAATCAATTAAACCAATAGGTCCAATGGCAAAAAAGTATTGTGCCAAAACTCTCTTTACCAGTATGATGTGATGCGTGTTACAGGGGTGATATCTATGGAGGCTGCATCAGGACCGCAGCAGGTGTCGCTAGACGTGATGCCTCTGGTTGCCGGCTACCTGCCGCTGCCCACTGTGCGCCTCTCCAAGTACATAGCTGCCAATACCAAAGGTACATAGTATACTTATGTATACGTGTGGAAAAATCAGGTCGTAATAATAATAATATTGGTCATAAAAATTCCATTCACAGATCCAAAGAAAGATATTTCAGCACATCCTCGCCTGGAGCCGTTCAGTCCGGGGCAGGTGTATCACGCGGGCAAGGCCACGCAAGTTCATGTGCTGCCTCCCGCGCCCAAGGACCACGACGCCGCCTCCTGAGGGCACGTCACCAAGGGGACAGCTTCACTCAAGTGAGGATGATCAACTTCACTTAAGTGATGAAGTTCAATTCCGTTTAAGTTAGAAACTACAGCTGACCTTAAGTGAGGAAGTTCAACTTCACTTAACTGAGCAAGCGAGTAAAAGATTGACCTTCAAGATTGGCTTCATCATTTGAATACTGCAATTTTTCAACCAAATAACTACCGCATTCAGAATCGTAAATAGGTCATTGTGTGTCATTTTTACCTACTCAATATTTACTAAGGGGGGGACTTAACTTCTCTGAGTGCGGCAATAATCAATCATAAATACTGATAGTATATGTCATTCACAATAAGTGATAAAATATATTAGAGCTTATGTGGCCACTTTTTAAAATTGCAAATTTCTATGCTGATGTTTAAAGTTAGGTAAACTGACCTTTAGACTGCGAAATAATCTAGACTATAAATTCTAAGGTGCCGTGCTATCTATAATATTATGGCAAGAAAACCCTATATTATGATATAAGATTGAAAACCATATTGAATGTCTATATATCAATACTTTTCGAATGCAGACTTGTATTGTCTCTTTCATACTCTTTGAAAAAAAATGAGACAACAATATATAACAAAAGTATTTGCAGTTAAAACTCAAATTTAGTAATACATGTAGTATTTGTGTATGTAGTGTTATTAATATAATTTTATTTAATATATCTATACAAAAATATCTAAAAGAGTGTTTACTGTATATCGGTTTAAACAGGTTTTTTTTCTTTTCATTAATTCGTGAAACTTGTCTTGTATAAGCTTTATGTGTAATGCATCATATTTACAGTAGTTTTCAGATATCTTGGCAGCTTTAAAGTTCGTGTGTATGTTGGGGCGTAGCTAGATGCGTGGAGAGGGCACTACGCAGCGCGCTCGTGACCTTAAGCCGCTAAGATATTTGAAAAGAACAGTACCATAAATTGGCTTGTAATTTTTTCTATTAAGCCATTAAAAATATGGACCATCTGATATTGTGATAAAATTAATGTGCTTCAGAAATATGCGTAAAAATATATATTTAACACAATAGATATATAATTGGTCGACAATTTGATGTCAAATCAGAATTAAATTAAAATATAAAAATTTCTAATTGTGATAATCTATGAGTGTTATTTAAAGGTTATCAACAAAAATGTAAAAGTTATTTTCTTCATATTATAAATCCATTATATTTAACATTTTTTTTTAAATTTTACTTTTACTTTGTTTGGATCAATGACAACTAGCAACAAAGCTATACTGTGACGAAAAACACGAAATCGTAATAAAGCGGCATAAAAATTTATTTGTTCAAGTTAAAAAAACACACCACAATTTTTTTTTATATAACTTTTAATACTAATAATACGCAATTAAGGCATATATTTTAGTTTACCCTGTTTCTTTATGTTAGAAGATTCCATTTCAATAACAAGGCCATATTTTTTTCTAGAACTCAAAAGTCACCTAGTCCCCAATCTTGTCCTCCTCTGTTTTATATGTAAGTTGTAAAATATTATACCTTTATTAAATTTTTGGTGCTAAAATATTTTACACCAAAACTCATTTTAGTGTTACTCTATGCTAGAGCATTTTTTTATTTTGTTTTGTATATCGGCAATATTCTATTTCAATTTTTTTTTGGTTAATGGATTTAATTTCCTAAGTACATACTTTTTATTATTGATATTATATATTCGCGATTTGATTTAACATCCAAAGAATTCAATGATCTTAGGATAGTAAAAATCAAAAGTTGCATTGAAATTATGTTTAATACTGGCAATATCATTTGTGTTTATAGTTCATTATCATCAATTGAGTATGTTAAATCAAAATTTGCATAATTTAAGCTAAATTTCTCTTGTTTAGCCCGGGTTTCTATTGCCCTTACTCATTAAAAATAACAGATAACCTGTTTTATTAGTGGAAACTGACGGTTATATTTAGCATGGTGAGTTTTATTTTTCAGTTAAAGAACATTGTTTAAAATATTCAATATCAAGAATGTTTTCATTTTTATATTGATTTTTAACATTCTTGTTCATATTTTTAGGTTATATATATTATGGTAACATTGGACTAGAGGTTATGTAAAGATGTTGATGTAAATAGACATGTAACTGTATAACTGGAGATTGTATTTATATTTCATACTATGTATAAAATCTAGGCTTATGAATATAATGTTTACTGTTACGCTCATGGTTTTATTATTTATGTTATTTAAATAAAAATCAGAATACTCCTGACAATGTTGTAATCTTTTTATAGTAAGTTCTTCCTTATTTATATAAATGTTAAATGTAATTCAAGTGACGAGAACAGTGCTAGAGTAGAACTATGACTAGTGATTTAATTGGAACAAAACCATAACGAGTTGATATGTACCTTCGTCTCCCTTGGATTACCTTTTCAATTCCTCTCCTTTCCCCTGCCGTAAGGCTAGCAAAGTTTCTTGTTTAAAACAAACGTTATCCATAAAAACTGTCGTATTTCACTGCTGGAAAGAGTGATGTGTAAGGGGTAACCACATAAGTTTGTTTGTGTCCTACGCTATGATTCTAAACCGCGAGTATCTTGCAATTCTCACTGTTCTGCTTTATTTTAATAGCTAATTATTTGGTCATGACGTGTCAAAATTTTTAGTTTATTTTATTATTTATGTTCTTTTAAAGAACGGAATGTGATGACAATTTTCAGCTCTACCAACATTTGCCTATGTCAATAGGTTGACCGTTGACAACTGTCTTAATGTTGCTAACTTAAAAGGGCTGATGCTATCTCAGGAACAATTAAAAACAATATTTTAATTAAGATGCCAGTCTCCATCTTCCGATTCAAATATTCACTGCAACAAATGACTTGTTAACCGCAAAATAATTGTAGTAACAATATTTCAAGTCGTTGTTGCATTAAGTTTGTTTTAAAACAATTCGTTGTTTTGCACATACATTTTCCTTCTTCATATTTTTGCCTAGATTCTTCGTTCGCATGGAATCAGTGTCTTAATTGTGTTCTAGTGTCGAAAGGGGGTAATACTTTTAAAGACTCTAACAAAGGGGTGTACAAGACTCTTAGGGAAATTTCCAAATCTTACTTGGCAACATTGAGGACGAGGTACGTTAACATTACGTTATGTTGGCATTCGTTGACTGTCTTATTTGTCGTGTTGTGGACTGATCAACGAAATTTATGAAGTTTGTTTTGTCTTCAAAATTTAGATTTTTGTAAATTCTGTGGCCATGAGATAAATTATTGACCTAAGATAAAACAATATTTTTGCTAAATATCACATAACAATATTACAATGGAGTTAAATTGTGTTGGATTGTAAAATATGAGTTAAGTGCTTTTCTTCATTTGATGTCACACGCGATTCCAGTCCACGAGTGGAAAAGTAAAATTTTAGCGATAGGATCGTTATATGCACGCAGCGGGAATGACAATAATGGCAGTTTCTGTTGGCGAAATTTGCGAGAATACGAAGCTGGCTCGAGAAATGGCTCTGATGGGTAACTACGAATCAGCACTTGTCTACTACGAGGGAACCGTCCAGATGATCCACAGGTTGCTGATCACAATTGCTGATACAACCCGCAAGTCCAAGTGGCAGTTGGTGAGTTTTGTTTGTTTCCATTTGGTGTTTTCTCTAGATTACCTTGAATGTTGAAGTTGTTTCCTTATTTGATGAAATAGTTAATTAGCATCAACATATGAAGGCGGAAGGCCACACAGGTGAGAAATGCGGGCTAACGTATACGCTTAAATAATGTTATCTTTCTTTTGAAGCTGTTTTCATCATTAAAACATTCCATGTCAATATGTATGAATTTTTAAACAAAAATATTTACTAAAACACCCAGGTCAGCTCATTAAATTACAATTCTAAATATTAATTGGAGTAATATTTAAACCTATCTCTGTAAAATCATGACATGTTTGGACTATTTAAATATTTCCAGGATTCATTTTAACCTATAAAAACTATGTTTCACAGTTTTCTACATGTTTAATTAGAAGTAGATATCTGTCTACCCCTTTTTTTTTTAAATATACCTTTTTCGGACATGTAATAATATATATTACATGTCTCCATTTATAGCAAAAACAGTTTATTATAGCAGATAATATAATTATTTAGCTCCTTGTAATAAAAAGTAAATGAAGTCATATTATTATACATCAATAATTTAATAATAGTGTTATAAATAATAAAGTAACGGAAAAATGGCTGAAATACAAAGATTCAGTTTTTTTTTTGAGTAACCTAGGCCATAATGTAACATCTTAGTTGTTTAAAAATAATCTCAATTAAAACATTGCAGGTTCCTATACATTACAATAAACAAAGTAATATTAGACAAGTGTAAATTTAATAGCAAACTTGATGAAATACAGAGCTTAATACATCAAATATGTTTAAAATTTCTCTTCAATACCTGTATATGTGAACAAAGCTTTTATCTTTATCTATGTTCACATGGTAGTGAAATATAATGAAGTGAAAACTATTAACCAAACCAATTATCTAAGACCACTTGTCTTATGAAAAAATTCTCTATGTACAATGATAGTAATTCCGCATCATTTGTATCCAAATTACTTAAAAATTACTTAGAACTTAAAACTCTGAAACAAATTTAATAACTAAGTCTAGTCAAATTAAGTAAATTTTTATGAAAATTGTCTTAACAGTTTGATAATATGTGATAAAAAATTAATTTATTATTTAAATAGTACCCATAAATGTCTGGAGCAGTTGTCCCTCCATAGTTTATAAATATTTTCCTAATGTAAAGTCTGAACTATAATTACAAAATAACTAGAAAATTAACTTGCTTATAAATTACTTAAAAGTCTTATCGGCCAAGATTATGCTTTACTAAATGCAATCTCCATACAAATGAATAGTGTGGGTTGTAAACCTGTTTCATATTAATGCAGTGTTGTAATTCTCTGAATGACTCTTAAATAGCGTAGCGACAGTCTTTTATGCAAAATAGTGTTATAGAATAAAACAGCTCTATTTTATAGTGATAGGAAAGAATCTTAATTAATGTATACACAAAGACACATTCTAAAGCAGGTATATCCTCAGACACCCATTTCAAATTTTACTGGTATCAACAAACCCCAAGCTTTATCAACTTGTAAAGCTTCTGGACCACTTTAGAAGGTGGTGGTCTAATGTTTGAATCTTATTATATTATTATGATTTTAATTTTTCCAGATATAATAATTAGCTAATCCATAGAAAGATTCCATAAAATTTTTATGATTAACAAGATGTCGCCCGCGACTTCGTTCGCGCGGTTTAAAAAAAACTTTATCGGTACTATGTGTGTTCTTCTAGACTATGTTCTATATGTGTGCCAAATCTCATCAAAAACCGTTGAGGTGTTTCTGAGATATCTTCAAACATACATCCATCCATCAGTCTAAACATTTGTATGTATAAAATTAGTATGATAAGTTTTGTATGAAAATTTATGACCAGGGATGTTTTAAGCATGGACATGTAGGAAATCGCAAGGTTGCAATTCGTCCGGTTTTCACGTTGCGTTACTTTACTCATACTGGAATACGAAATTACCGGTATTAAAAACTGCATATCATTAATGAATGAAGTAAATGTAATTGCTAAGTTTACATTTGCAATGCTGATGAATTACACGCATTATAAGTTTGTTGTTACTTGGAGCTGGTTTCTTTGTGTTTTTGAGACTAATCATTATTAAATAGAGGCACATCGAAATACTTGGGCACACCTATCTGGTGATAGGTTTTAGATAAACCCTCCCCATATTTAAAATCATGTGTGTACTTTTTAGTACAATGTAATACTGAAATTTTTAAAATATTGTTAAATTATTTATTAAATTTACGTTATCTGTAAGAAAACGAATACACATGGTATTTTGTTTTAGCCCCTTCTGCCTCATGATGATTCGGACAATCCCTAATCGGATTAAAAAAAAAGTGTTTTGTGCCTTTTGTCAAAATTTCTTTTGTGCCAGTTTCTTCTTACCATCTATTACATCAATGTCATAACAAACAATGGTAATTTTGTTATAAACCATTCTCATTTATATATAATGTCAAGGTTCATTAAACTACAAATGTTTATTAAGATTGTTAAATCACATACATTGTGAACATATGTTCTGGGTATCATTGTTGGCGCTCCTTGTGTATTAGTTTAATTAGATCTATTATATTATAATATTATATATAGTGACACATAATAACTAAGAAACTGACCTTACCTAGACCTTAAAAGTGTTACAAGTTACAAGTTTCATTAACCTTTATTCTCCCTATTTTTACAAAGATCATGAAAGACAATATGTTTTTATACTTGCGTTTTTGCAGTGAAAATTCACTTTAAAGTCTGAGTTACACTCTACTACTCTTTATATTAAACTTCGACTATATATAATCTGTAAACGGTGGATGAAACTTGACCATTACACTTGTCCTGTCCCTAGCCTGTCCAAGTCTAATAGAAAAGGCTGTCTTTATACGCCATTTCTATTGTTAGGATCCCTTTATCTCGCCGTAGACGTATTCATAAGCCGTATTCAGAGCAGAGATTGGAATTCTTTGTCTGTGTTGGTCATTCATATAAGCAAACAATAAAGGACTCTAAATTGACAGATATCAAGTATATTTTGGCTTGACATATTTATGTCCAGACCCTTTCTCTTCAGGTAAAATTATAGATAAATGGTTGTGTATTTTAGCCCTGTCATTTACAAGTCTACTTACGATAAATCGCTGAATGATGCGTGGACGTGTTGAGAAAATTTTCTACGAAATACATATTTATACGCGTGGGTATACAGGTTATTTGAAAGATTTCACCATCGCAAAAAGTGAACTAGAAATTGCTAACGACATTGATATACTTAGCTTATATTAGCTTTTATCGTTGGTTAATGTGATTTTTATTTATTTTAAATTAGAAATGTAATAACGTATATCTTTATTTGAAATTGTTGGGCAGGTTTCGTTTGCCGAACACCCTACATTTGGCTAGGTTTTTCACTCCTTTTCTGTTTGGTTGATAACGAAGTATATTTAATTAAAAGCTAGTCCCTCTAATCAGATTAAATCCCTTGATAATTAACAATGCAATTGTTTTAAGTCATGCGTAAAGTAACCAATCTCTTGAGACCTTTACTGCAGACTGATTAGAACCCTTGTGAGATGACGATGTTGTCAAGGCTAGACCGCATTAGATGACGGTGGCAAGGGACTAAATGTGGCATTCCTTTGGGGTTGTTTGTATGAACGTCAATCTTCTCACTAATATTATAAATGCGAATGTTTGGATGGATGGATGGATGTTTGTTTGGAGGTATCTCCAGCATAGGTGTAGGGATCCCGATGAAATTCGGCATAGATGTAGAACATAGTTTGGAAGAATACATAGGCTACTAATTAAGCTTGTTTTTCATTCCGCGCGGACGGAGTCGCGGGCAACAGCTAGTATGACATTAAAATGACTTCAGTTGGTTTTATAGTGAAAAGACTTTCAAGCTTTCTTTACATTTAATATAGGTCAGGAACATTTTCTCATGACAGACTAGCTTACGTTCCAAGTACCCAGGGAAAGTGGACCCCCGTGGCAAGCTTTGTATAGAACTGATCTAGAGAAACAAGTATTTTAAGGAAAGAAAATTATCTTTATTTAGTCTTTTTCTTGACTCGATGTATTATTTTTAATAAAAATGAAACTGGATGTTTTAAATGTAAAGTTACGTTAGCTTGTCAGACATATAGTTCATATCCTCATGTTAATGAAAGTTTATTGGCTTAATGCTCGGTCGGGTTCAATGATACTTGTCCTGACTCAGTGCGCCTACGCGCCGTCTCCCGAAGGCGACGCAAAAACTATAACGGGACGGCTGGTCGTAATGTTAATTGCACGATACTGGACACTTCTCGGAATTAAAGAGGTTGGATGGAAGGTTTCCCAGGGTTTTTTGTTGGTAATTATGGATAATTTATCCTTGACAATAAATACACTTATGTCGAAATGCGACGATAATGTCGCACTGTGCTCATTGTTTCTAAAACTTAACCTCCATGTCCTTTGTGGTTCATTTATTAATTTCGTATAGGACACTCGTAGTATTTAAGCAATCCGTCTATGTGATACTGATATAAAAATTCGCAGTTTAGTTTTTAGCAAAAGCTTATGGTTGCTACTAGGTTGGTTGCTAGCTTTGGACAATTAATTTTATTGGAACCAGTGTTAGGTATCAAATTTAGGTTGCTCGTGTGCTATAAAACTTGAACGCTCGAAACCTGACCTACGACGGCTTATGGATCGATTACGAAGAAGCCCAAAAGTGCTACGTTTCTTCCACATAAATGTACTTGAGTCATTTGCTAATAATAAACAATCTTAGTCGTTATTACTTGTTAAATATATTTTAATCTATAACTGTTTTTATATTTCCAAATAATTATAAAAGAAAAGTCTTTAAAGACAAGTCTTTAATACAACTATATGTCTCGTAAAAACAAATCGGTTTAAATTTAGCTTAATATAATCAACAACATAGATTTTTTTAACTAGTTGATAAAGAAATAATATAGTTAGTTTTC